TCTATCATGCTTTATAATTTCTAGACTGTATGAATTAGGATGATTCGTGATCTTTTGGGAGAATAAAATCAATAAAATGAGTACACCAATCATAGAAATACCTAGTCATTTGATGAGCGTTAACATATCATAGGTAAACGTATAATTTACTATGTTAATATTAACTTGAATGATTTTTGAGATAAGTGTTGAGTTTGAAGTCTTACATTTAACTTTATCAAGTGTTGAAGAGTGTTGAGTGACTTATTTAAGGGACTAATATTTTAATCAGAGAGGGGTTTTGTAGAGATTGTAGTAATTTAATAAATGGATACCGGCTCAGTGGTCTAAAGGTTAAGTGTTCGCGCGCGAGATCGAAGGTCTTTGGTCCGAATCTAGCGAGGCGGGATCGGGGATGCGCACCGCTGAGAAGTCCCATACTAGGATGGAACGGCTGTCTAGTGCTTTCATGTTTTCCATGGTGGTCTAGCTCCAATGTTTCAATGTAAATTATTGGTTACTTAATGTCAGGTACTATTAAGTTTAAATTATGTAAATCTAACTACACATCTTGTTTTCATTTGCTTTGTGCGATTCACAATTTAAGACATTTAGTATTAGTTTTCTCCTATTATAAGTAAAATCATACTTACTTACTTACTTACTCCTGTTACTCCCAATGGAGCATAGGCCACTGACCAGCATTCTCCAACATACTCTGTCTTGGCACTTCTTTTCTAGTTCTATCCAATTGTTGTTCATTCTTTTCATGTCTGTCTACATTTCTTGGCGTAATGTGTTCTTTGATTTTCCTCTTCTTCTTTGACCTTGAAGATTCCACCTGGAGCTTTCTCGAGGCTACTGTCGGTTTGAAGCCCGAATAAACGAGGAGGGTTGAGAATGGGTTTAGCGACCCTATCCCGTAGAAATCTAACTCGCCAAAAACAACGCTAAATAGAAAAAATAATTCAAACCATTTAAGCAAAATCATAGATATGCTTATTCAAATAACTGTGTAGAATATATGATAGTTTAATGATAACATTGGTAACAATTAATTACATCCCAAGTTATTAGTACATTTCACTGAAATGTGTGAAACGGTTTTCCTAATTCACTTATCCAACTTTAGGTAGATAACGTTAAGTGAAATTATTATTATTATTATTATTATTGGGGTCACAAATTGACGATTAAATGTAATGGAACTCGAGAATGGTGATCATTCCATCATAATTAATGGATCAAAAATGATCATGTTCATCCAATGATCTCAGCGTCATTAATGTTCAGTACTCAACAGCGTAAAATTAGAAAGGTACAATATCCTGTTTGTCAATGACTTTATGTTGGACTATTAGATTATGATGAAAAATAAGCTTCTAAATAAATGATAATGGGTTTTGTGGAGATTTTTAGGAATTTCACTGGTTGAACTCATGAGTCAATTGCAGCTAGACCACCATGGAAAACCTGGAAGCACTGGACGGCCGTTTCGTCCTTGTATGGGTTGAACTTAAACATTAACACCGTTGGAGGCCGGCTCAGTGGTCTAGTTGGTTAAGCGCCTGGCGCAAGACTGATAGATCCTGGGTTCGAATCTCGCGGGGGGCGGGGTCGTGGATTTCTAGATAAATCACCTTGTTAAAATTGGAATCATAGTGTATTGTCAGTGTATGTATACACATTACCATGGAGACATGTATCTCAAAGGCAATTTATCAATGACATGAAATTAACTGTTAAATTTCAATGTGATCTATTGAATTCTTATTATCAAAGTACAATATGATCATCTAACAATTGACTTTATATTATATAGTATCTTTTGCTTTAATTCAGATATCATCATTGTGCATTTTGGCGTTTATCAGATGGTCATTCAATCATTGCATCATGTACACCATTCACAATGCAACGTTGTGGAAAAAATTTGTAAGTTCTGAAAGGAATTGTTATTTTATTCTATTTTATTTGATGCTATAATAAAAAGATGGTTCCATGAGTTCACTTACAGCACATATTATCCAGTTGCGTTAAACAAAGTATCAGAAGGGGTTTGTGAAGATTTTAGGAATTTCACTGGTTGAACTCATGAGTCAATTGCAGCTAGACCACCATGGAAAACCTGGAAGCAATGGACGGCCGTTTCGTCCTAGCATGTGACTCCTCAGCAGGGGGCATCCACGATCCCGCACCCCGCGAGATTCAAACCCAGGGTCTATCAGTCTCGCGCCAGGCGCCTAATCAACTAGACCACTGAACCGGCATCCGACGGTGTTAATGTCCAACTTCAACCAATCCACGAAATTGCGCCACCGTACACCATTGTCTTCAGTGAGCTGATATCTCACAACAAACCTGGTTGAACTCCACTTGTAACGGCTTCTCACTAGAACTCCAGGAGTATCTCTTGAAATCAGTCACTAGTGAGCAGATGATTATTATCAGAATGGGTTATGTGGAGATTTTAGAAATTTCACAGATTGAAATCATGAGTCAATAGACATAAGTATCTCAGAAACTAGAATTACTTATGTATTGCAATATGTTAGGAGATTAGTCTTAATAATATTCCATGAATAAGCTTGTGTTCCAGTGAGTGATTATTTCATTAAGACCTGAACTAATTAATTATGCCTGGAGAGTCTTTTCCAGTTCTTTCCAGATTGCTCGTCATCTTATTCATATCTATTTCCAATTCTCAATGGAGTGTGTTCTTTACTTTTTCTATTTTCCTCTTGCCTTAAGAATTACATGTTAGCGCTTGCCTCAGGACGCAGTTTGGTGATTTCCGTAATGTATATACTATCCATCTACAGCATTTTTCATAAGTCCTTCTTCTTTTGAAAACTATTTCGTTCTCTATCACACTAGATTGTTGCTGATGGTATCCAGTCAATTGGATATTAAGTGAATTGAGTAAACAATTATTTATATATACCTGTATCTTTATGATGATAGTCGTGGTAGTTCTGCATGTTTTAGCTTCGTACAGTAGAACTGTCTTGACATTGGTATTGAAGGTTCTAGATTTGATATTGTTTGTTTTGAGAGGACTTGAACTAAGCAACAGATATTTCAGAAAAGAAATAATTTCCCTATTGGATACTTCATTAAATCAGCTACCTCTAAATCGAAAAAATAATATTTGTATTTATTCATGCAATTCATTCATAATGATAGATCACAACAGTCAGAATTCATCAAACTGATCTTCACTAATGATTTGATATATTACTCTATGAACAACTAGAATTAAAACACTATACTTTACTTCACTTGATATTGTTCGCTTGTATCTTACTACTGGAATATCGAGGCAATTTGCAGAGAATGCACATATGTCAATAAGAGACTGATCGATTGCAGCCGTAAATAGCAATGAGAAGATACAAGCAAATAATACCAAGTGAATTTAAACTTCACCCCATTGCACAAGTAAGTGGCTCTCAGTACTCAGCAGCTAAGTGGATAACGCTATGGCGCTTGAAGTGAACAGTACTAGGTTCGTGTCCAAGTGTGGGCATCAACGCTGGGATGCAGGTACATCCAACTGACGAATCTCGAAAAGGACGAAACGTGCGTCTTGGATTCCACTGCTAACCACTAATCATCTTTGACTATTCTTTACTATTTCTAAAATTAAGAAATTCTTTTGTTATGAAATTTTCCATACACCATAATCATAGGTGTTTCATAATTTATGTTACTTTGACTTAAAAGTTTAATTATGCACGTTTTGTATTATATAATGAAATAACATCATACACAAGTATCTCATTACCAAGGTTTAACACAATAACTTAAATTGAGCATTGGGTAGAAATTGAAACGAATACTCTTTGTTCATAGTAGAATGAGTAAGGAAGTGAATTTCTGATGTTTCACCGTTTAATGTTACTTTCCTGTTCAAATAATAAATAAATAACTGAATTAAATAAACACGAGGTTAAATAATGTTCAAGATTTTCTGCCAACTAGCAACAAACATAACAGTATCTTAAGGGGGTTTTTTGTGGATATTATAGTAATTTCAACGGTTGAGATCATGAGTCAATTGAAACTAGACCATCATGGAAAACCTGGAGGCACTGCACGGTCGTTTAATCTTATTGTGTAACTCATCAGCAGCACGAATCCACGATCCCGTTTGCAAGATTCGAACCCAGGACCTGTTAGTCTTGCGCGCGAGTGTTTAACCTCTAAACCATTGAGCTGGTCGGTATCCAACGGTGTTATTGTCTAACTTCAACTAATATGTCGCTCAATTTTATGGATTAGTTGAAGTTAGACACTAACACTGTTGGATGCCGACCAACTCAGTGGTCTAATGGTTAAGCGCTCGCGAGACGGGATCATGAATGCGCACTGCTGAGAAGTCTCACAGTGGAAGGAAACAGCCGTCCAGCGCTTTCAGGTTTTCCATGATGGTCTAGCTTCAATTGACTCATGATCTCAACTATTAAAGTTAACATAATATCCACAAAACCCCTTCTAATATTTACGTTTAACTAAACAAAGAACTTTCTATTTAACATTATGGTTTATACTTTCTTATTTATTATTACCTAGAGAATTTGATTATAAATGTTGTGCAGGTTATGAAAGAATCGAGAAATTATCATACACATTTAAAGATTTTAAAAAAGGAGAATGTGCTCTACAACTTTCACCCTATGAAATGTGTACGGAGTTAATAGGGAATCAATGTAAGTCTTTCTAATATATGAAATATTTTAAAGTTGTTCAAATGAATAGGAAATGTTTTTGTATTCAATTAATTTTTATATGTTGAGAAGATCTAGGGGATTCCTCGGAAAAAAACCAAATAATGAGGCTGTGAAAACGCCGAGAAACATTTTGGAAAGTGGAAAATCATATATCACGTTTTTGATTGGATGATTACTTATACTGCTAATGTGTTTACTAGTGTTTCAGAAATTTCTGGAAGCCCAAGGCTATCTAAAATACTATAAATGTCTGATATATGTTTGAAGAGATTACGTGTTCACCTTATCTGAGAACGGAATGAAAACGTTTTGATACAATAACCAATAAGTTAGCTATTCCGACGCGTCGTAGCCCCACTTACTAGAGAGAGAAATTCAAGTTCAAAAGACGGAAATATATATTCCAGAAGCAACCAGAAGCACGAACAACAACAATAAGCACAACGCAAGCGTATATATATATATATATACAGCATAACAATGTCCTTGGGAAACGGTACAAAATAGCGTACTAAAGACAATGAATCAACAGTATTTAAATTCCTCCCAAATGGGGAATTCGACATCAAGGCGAAAATGGATGATTTGGCGCGGAAACAAGAAATTCATATTTTTAAAACAGAATTGCAAAAATAAGGTATTTATAAAGTTAGTCCCGGGGATCTAACATCCTCAACATAACCTAGATTTTCTGTACATAAACAATCCTTTGGACAAAAGCATTTCTTCCATATTTAGCGCCTTTTCTCTAGTGTTTAATTCACTATGTATATTTAGCCTGAGAGTTACTAGAAGTGCTTCGGAATTGAATCTAGAAGACTTATCAAAATATATTTAGAATCTCGCTGAAACTGATGACGTTATCACGATAACTAGTAAGTAGCTACTATAAGATTTTCTTTATTCAGTCAATAAATACAGTAAAACTTAGCAACTAATGATTAATATTTCGGATGTTAAATGATTGAAAGAAATTCATCTGAAAGCCCTAAATCAAGTTAGAATATAACTGAAATCTTGAAGTCACTAATTATTTCCGAAACATCTTGGTAAATTCACTATAATCCCCATTTTTAAGCTTCATATTGGAGATGAGGATAATTATATCAGTCATTTGCTATGCTGAAATATTAGATAGAATGAACTGCTTCTCATAAGATGCTTACTTTGGATTCAATGCCTATTGCCTACTAAAGAACATAGACAATTTACACGATTAATTTGTTTAAACATATTGTTTGTTTCCATTTGGAGTTGTTTACTTGCATCTTCCCATTATTATTTATGACTGCTATTGATCAGTCTCTTATTGACATATGTACATACTGTGCGGATTGCCAAGATATTGCCTGAAGTCACAAGCAATATAAGCAAAGATGGATAGTGACTAACAGTGGAATCCAGTTTGACGCGCGTTTCGTCCTATCTGGGATTCGTCAGCTGGATATACCTGCATCTCAGAGTTGATATTCACTCTGTGGCTCGAACTCAGTACCGTTCGCTTCAAACGCTATCGCGTTATCCACTTAACTACAGTGTCCTGAAAGCATTCTGCTCGTCCAATGCGGCTAATTTCACCTGATATTGCTTGCTTGTATCTTCCGATTGTTATCATTGTTTTTTTTCAGTAGCTGTTAACTTCATTAGAGTAACCTTGTTTGCTTGTTTTATTAAATTTCATTTTAGCTGATATATCTCCGTTTGCAGATAAAATGAAATCACTTAATCAGTTCAATACAAAAATTCCTGATAAACCATATACAATATTTGCACCAAGTACTAGAAATGCTGAAAAATATAAAGAGTAATATTTATTGTTAATAGTATATCCTTATTATGTATACAATATTATACTTTGTTTATACCTTTATAAGTATGAATCGCTATAAGCGTAAGAAGAAGAGAAGATGAAACATCATAGTTATTTATCATCCAAGGAGTTACCAAAATGATATGCTCCACATAAGTCGTTCGATTTTGCGAGGGTTGAGAGACTACCCGGGTGCCCGAACCAAAATAAGTGGTTTGCTTAGGGCCCACACCCGAAGCCTTCAACTTAATGGTCTGATCCACAAGGCAGTGGATAAACGTAAAGAGATGCAGTAACATGGTAGCCAGTGACCAACGATGGGTTCATAATCCATTTGTTCCCTCAAGATACTTGAGTCCATGTGCACCATCGGTTTTGAATCAGCGTTTTCCAATTCTCCTAAATGGATCCTCCACGTTCACTAAGCCGGTCAAAGCGCCGGACATTCGCTTTTCTTCTTCTCGATTTCATGAACAACACCCGTAGCCCGAGAAGGCAGTAAGTAGGATTTCTCTGTCGGTGGATGTATTCACGTGGCCATTTGAGATCATTTGGAGAGGGAGAGCAGGCTCTCTCTCTCTACTCTCGGCCGTACCAGGGCATTTTGGAGCAACTCATAACAAATTTGGTAATTGTTCTTACTCAATGGCTTAGTGAATAATGTGTTGGTTTTCAAAGTTATAAGTATTTGAGTTCCAATTTGAACACTAACATTCATATATAACTATATCTAACAACATAATAACAAGTTAAAAGAATTATGTTTGCATATACTTTTCACTAAACTTCTTCATTATTTTCTTTTTTCTTTCTACATAGTTTTACAAATTCTGCTGAACACATTGTTCCAGGTCGATTTTATTTGAAAGATTTAAAAAGTGGACTACAGCTAAATACTTTGGATCCTAAAAGAAAACTTTATGTAACACGAGAACATTATGGAGTAAGTTTAAACAAAGGCAACAGTTTTCTTTTATACCCTTTGACACTAAATACTTTTTTTAAAAAAATGTATATATATATACATATATTTATATTATTAATTGAGATCATGAGTCAATTGAAGCTAGACCACCATGGAAAACCTGGAAGCACTGGACGGCTGTTTCGTCCTATTGTGGGAGATAGTAACTCACTGAGTACAATGGTGGATGTGTCGTTCAATTTCGTGGATTAGTTGAAGTTAGACAATAACACCGTTGGATGCCGACCAGCTCAATGGTCTAGTGGTTAAGCATTCGCGCGCAAGACTGACAGGTCCTGGATCCGAATCTCGCGAGGTAGAATCGTGGATGCGCACTGCTGAGGAATCACATAATAGGACTAAACGATCGTCCAGTGGTTCAAAATTTTCCATGGTGGCCTAGCTTTAATTGACTCATGATCTCAACTACTGAAATTACTACAATCTCCACAAAACCCCTTCTGATACTAAAAATATATAAGTTGAATAGTCATTGACAAGTTTGTTTACCAGATTTTAGAATGATGAATAAACTGCAGTTCTTAAAATTCAATACAATAGTTTTATTCTTCATGATGTTTATGTAAGCTGTAATAAAAAAGGGATCATCATTATCTGGTGTGGCGGTCTGCTTGAATATCTGGACTATTTACTTCTATTATCCAGATATTTCAACACTTTTCCTACTCTCTTGTTTGTTTTAACACATCATTATGCCTATTTGTCACATAACGTTTACCACCTTTCACTGTAAAAGTTACTAAAAAGTCCAATCAGAAACATCATGGTTGCTCATAGTATATATCGAAAAGAATCTACATTATTCAGATGTCGATCAAATGGATTGCTGACATCTAACTGGCGATCACTCAATACATATCGTCAGGATTGATGAAGAAATATCAAACAGAAACTTGTTGAAATACTTTGTGCTGAGAATTATATATCGTACCAAAAATATAATATTGAATAAATACAATAATAATAATACCCTTGATTAAAAGACCAAATTACCACCTAGTCTTGAATCTCAACTAAATAGTTATTATAAGATAGAACTGATAAACAATTGAATAGGTAGATTGATTTACAGCCACATGACTTGATTGACTTTTTCAGTTTTCAGTCTTAGGAATAGTAGGTTGGTGAACCTGTGTTAATCCTGAAGCCCGCTACGTCAAGAGCAAATTATGGAACAAATTGTTGCATCAAGATATCATAATGACAAGCTGTATAGCATAGTAAACGTAAACCACTATAAAGTACGTTATGTGTCCACAAATCAATAGCATATATTAAAACAGTACTATTCAGAGTTGTTCATAGTGAATTAAGTGGACTGTATGTTGTACATTGTTTAAGTCAGTTTACTTGAGATGTTGAAGATAATCAAAAGTCATGAACTGCAGTTCTTTGTACTATGAAAGAATGATAGGGATGTTATAACTTGTGGCCTGATTGCCCTATTAATATATAATTTGATGATACCGCCACTTAGAGAGCAGTGAATTATCGATCAGACCAATGACTCATAAAACCCATATGAGCAGTCTACAGTCTTATCGGTCCTTCTTCCCGCCCAGCCCTGCCTGTAAAGTCCAGAACACAAATCTCAACCTCTGAAATAGGAATCATTTATTTCAAGTATACGGGGTTTATATACCCATCAAACAGACCACATCGTGCCACAAAATAGGAAACAACATTTCTACAAGATCTAGCAAAATGTGGCTGTGAATGCGGGAGACAGTAATTGATGAACAGGGCATAACTCAAGAATGATAAATCTTATAATAATAGTTCATAGTTCAAAATAAAGCTCATAATAAGAGGGACACGAATATGAACAGTTTAGTTAATTAACAATTATACGACAAAAATATACGTATAGTAATAGTCAAGAAATAGATTCCAACAGTTACCATTCATTATTCTCATAGGGATATAACAAGGAACAAATAATATCCCTAAGAATTTTTATTCAAACAGTTACACCAATTCATTTGTATTGGTTGTTTGAATCTTTCTATTGATGCTTAAGATTATAATTGATCAGTCTCTTATTGGTGTTTGTTCATGCTCTGCGGATTGTTTCGATATTGCTTCAATTCACAAGTACCTCTGCTTATAGTTTTATCAATAATCCAAACAATTATATATATATATATATCAGTAGCGGTAGCCTATGGTCCATTCGGTGTAGCAAATGTAAGTACGTAATACCAGCATTCAGCAAAGCTTAATGTTTCGTCTTTATTTATTTCAGACTGTTTCAGTTGATTGTGTAGAACTAGTTGATGCAGATATGGAATGTAACTCTGGCATTATACATACAATTAGATATGTAAGTTTACTTATTTAATGTATTTCGATTTATATAGAAAACAGGATGATTCAAACATTAGATTAGTCCAAATGGATGGTTATCATATAAACTAACACTGTTTTTTGTAAGTTACTAGGTAAGCTTTCTGGGTGGTAATTACTCCCATGAAGATGACAGATCAGTTGATGAAGTAGTGAAACACCATCAGTTGAGATGGCTCGGACATGTGTTACGTGTGCTCACCCGCCGACTGCCACGACGTGCGATGTTTTATGGTGTAGGAGTAGGTTGGAAGGAAGTTAAGGGCGGCCAGATCAAAACATGACACAAATTCATGAAGTCACTGACAAGTGAACTGAGCCATGTTGGTAGGTGTAGACTACCTGATTGGGGACCGTGAGATGATTGCAATCGATGGTTATAAACCTTGAATGACATGGCTCAAAATCATTTGCAATGGCGCAGGTGCATCCACTCTTTGTGTTCTTTCAAATTCTTATCTTCTGACTTCATCATCTCCCTTTTTTTCTGCACTGGATTATAATCCTTGAATAACGTCTTCAAACCTTAATCTTTCCGATTATTGTTTATACTTTCACTACTTCTACCACTATAGGATTTGAATCGGCAAATGTATCTCTGTGCTAATGTGATATGGTAACTTGAACTGATGTACGTACGTACGAAGTTCTGACTGAGTGAGTTTATCCACTCTCATTCATTAAACTAAATTTATCAACCAATCGATTTGTTATAACTTATTTACTTTGAAACGGTAGAAACAATATCCAACCAATTGAAGCGAACAGTTATTTAGTATATACTGGTCACCACTTAAAGAGTTACATTTCAATACAATTCAACTTCAATACTTCAAATTCAATATTAGCTATAAAAGTTAGTATGTATTTGGTTTGTTCTTTAATAATACGGGGAAGTTTGAAATGTTCGATCGTGTTATTTCAATTTGTTTATCCTATCCATCACTTAGTTTTTAAGGGTTTATAAGATATATTGAAGAAGAATTGAAATCATTCAAAGATCTATTACAGGATTTTATTGATATTATAGAAGATGTGAATTCGATGATAATTTTGAATAATAAAGAGTTTATATTGAATGTCTTTGAGTATTCACAAAGATATTTGTACTTTAACAGAATCATCAAGATTCCCATAAATAGTTTGGGACAAGTCTTTATAGATAGTTTGAAACAAATATCAACTGCAAGACATTTATCAAATCATTAAAATTTATCTTTGATTGAGCTGTATAAGATATTCACATTTTATGCTTATGAACTTCGGTAATCATAAATTTTCACTGAATCGTTAAAGAGGATAACTAGTCGTCCGACTTGAGTAAACTCGGTTGCCAGTTAGCTAATATAAATAGCGAACGTTAAAGATACTTTTTTTCAATTGGTTATTATAGTTTCAGGATTCATAATCTTAATTATTTGCTTACGCCTGTTACTCGCAATGGAGTATTGGCCACCGACCAGCATTCTCCAACACACTCTGTCCTCCGTCTACCTTTCTAGTTCTGTCCAACTGCTGTTCATTCTTCTCATGTCTATCTCCATTTCCCAGTGTAATGTGTTCTTTGGTCTTCCTCTTTTCCTTTGACCTTGAGGATTCCATGTGAGGATTTGACTTGTGACACAGTTGAGTGCTTTCCTCAATGTGTTTCCTATCCACTTCCAGCACTTCTTTCTCATTTCTTCCTCCTCTGGGATCCGATTTGTTCTCTCCCATAGTAGGTTGTTGCTGATAGTGTCCGGCCAACGGATCCGAAGTATTTTGTGTAGACAACTGTTAATAAACATTTGTATCTTCTGGATGATGGCTTTCGTAGTTGTCCAAGTTTCCACCCATACAGTAGAACTGTTTTGACATTTGTATTGAAAATTCTGACGTTTGTGTTGGTTGACAGAGAGCTGTTTTGAGTTCCAGATTTTCTTCAGTTGTAAATATACTGCTTTCGCTTTGTCGATCTGCACCTTCACATCTGCATCAGATCCACCATGTTCATCAATGATGCTGCACAAATATGTAAAGGTTTTTACATCTTCCAAATCTTCTCCGTCAAGTGTGATTGGATTGGTGAATTCCATGTTGTATTGGAGAATCATGCTTTTCCGTTTGTGTATGTTGAAACCTACTCGTGTTGAGGCTGTTGCTTCACTGGACACCTTCTCACTAATTACTTTAAACATCTGAAATTAGTTGACTATTCATAATCTTTTAAAGTTATCTAATTGAAGAATTTAACAACTAACATGGAATATACTCCCTGTTTTTAACGTTTTTAGCCTTTAACGAATATACGAAACTTAGACAGATCATCTATTCTTAGCTTATTGGAATCTCATCCAGAAACTCAAGCATTTGCTAAAGATTTATCCGCAGTATTTAAAAATAATTTCAAGAATATTAACTCTAATCAACGATATACTGTAATAGTACCAAGTCAAAAGACATGGGAATTATTACGTCAAAAGTATTCAGGTGAACAACTACAAAAAGTAAGTTTTATTCTAGTTTACCTTAATGTATGTAACTCTTTAGAAGTATGTACAGACTGAAAACCCTTAGTTCGAATCCTGTGGGCGGGATCGTGGATGCGCACTGCTGAGGAGTCCCACAATTGGACTAAACGACCGTCCAGTTCTTTCAGGTTTTCAATAGTGGTCTAACATCAATCGGTTCATGATCGCAATCAGTAACATAACGAAGTTTGAATTAAGAACTGATAATCACTATGATAATGTTATTGTTTGAATAAATGGATCAAATAATATGCAGAAGTATTTTTTTATTTTTGATATGAAATTATGATAATGAACATTGTATTTGAATACACAACAAGTCCCCAATTAACTAACTTGAGACAAATAATGGTTAAAATCAAAAGAGGTTTTGTGGATATTATAGTAATTTCAATAGTTGAGATCACGAGTCACTTGAAGCTAGGCTACCATGGAAAACCTAGAGGCACTGGATAGCTGTTTCGTTATACTACTCAGCGGTGTGCATCCACGATCCTGCCTCGAGAGATTCGAACCCAGGACCTATCAGTCTCGCGCGATTTCGTGGATTATTTGACGTTAGATATTAACACCGTTGAATGCCGGCCAGCTCAGTGGTCTAGTGGTTAAGCGCTCGCACGCGAGACTGATAGGTCCCGGGTTTGAGTCTCATGGGGCGGGGTCGTGGATGCGCACTGCTGAGGAGTCCCACAATAGGACTAAACGGCCATCCAGTTCTTTCAGGTTTTCCATGGTGATCTAGCTTCAATTGATCCATGATCCCAACTATTAAAATTAATGGTTAAGATTTAAAACTCTACACGAAGTTTGCAGTTCGTTGGGACTGTATTGATAACTTGTTAAAGCCGAAGTGTATCACTGATTCAATGTTAAACGTGAAAACTGTTTCTCAGTCATGGCAAATTTAATAAGATTGAAGGTTAGGATTACGATTTTTATTACGAACTGAGATCAACCATAATTTAAGAATCCTAAAATAAATATCTTAAGTCTTAGTTTTAGCATATTGAGTAATTCATCAATTATTACTGTCTTCTGATTGGCTAAACAGGTTGAGATCCCGTAGTTATTCATCGGTATAGACCATCTTCACGATTGATGTTACGATTATCTTGTCAGTATGTTATGCTAATATATTTGAAAGTTTTGTTACGTATATTTTCTAAGTGATTAGAAATTACTCACTTCTGACATACGTGAACCAAACACACTCTCTGATTCCGCGTATAGATGACCCATTTAAACAGTTATCCAGCGTTTAAATGATTTAGTCTATTTAGTTTTGCGAATTGAAGCAAACTCCTGATGAACTCATTTGTGAAGTAAACAAATTTGTAATCCAATGTTCAAACAATTTTGAACTCTCCAATGAATAAGTGAAACAACAGTGAATTATCTTTAATCCACCTCATACAATAGATGAAAGATTGCTCAAAATTCTTGATCAATTGAAATTAAACATTAACACCTCTGGATGTCAGCTCAGTTGTCTAAAGGTTAAGTGTTCGTGCACGAGACTGAACGTTATGGATACACACTGCTGAGAAGTCCCATACTAGGATGAAACAGTCATCCTGTGATTCCAGTTTTTCATTGATGGGCTAACTTAGATCAACTCATGAATTCAACTATTAAAATGGTAATTAGTATAGAAACTTTACCCAGAGACAATTTACTAATGACATAATTATTTTCTTTTTTTTCATCAAATAACTTCTTTTTCTTAACTTTAGTCAATGTTTTCCAAGAAGTTTTTGTTACGTTCTTGATCTGTCTACCCACTTTTGGTGCTGAGGACAACTTGTCTAATCTAGATTAAGACCATGACGCGATAGGCTAAACGGCTTAATCTTGAGGCTAGTACGCATGAGTTCAAGTGGTGTACAGAAACGAAAACTATTCAATCACCTGATTGACTGATAAGCACGCGAGTGAGAGAAAACAAGTCAACTGGAACACTACTCGATTTATCCTCAATTTCGATCTGGTTCCCGATTTCCCGATTTCAGATCAGGGTAAAAAGATACATGAATAAATAGATGACTAACACGACCACAACGTACAATAATTAGGAAAATACAATTATTATCAGAAGGGGTTTGTGGAGATTTTAGAAATTTTACATATTAAAATCATGAGTCAATTGAAGCTGAACCACCTTGGAAAACCCGGAAGCACTGGAAGGCCGTTTCGTACTAGTATGAGACTCATCAGCAGTGCGCATCCACGACCCCACATCCCGCGAGATTTGAACCCAGGGTCTATCAGTCTCGCTCCAAGCGCTTAACCAACTAGACCACTGAACCGGCATCCAGTGGTGTGAATGTCTAACTTCAACCAATCCACGAAGTTGCGCCACCGTGTACTATGGTCTTCAGTGAGCTGATATCTCACAATAGACCTGGTTGAACTCCACTGGTAACGGCTTCTCACTAGAACTCCAGGCCGTCCAGTACTTCCACGTTTTCCATGGTGTTCTAGCTTCAATTGACTCATGATTTCAATCTGTGAAATACAATTATGTCCAAAACTGGGAATTAGCGTAGAAAAATAGAGTACAAAATATTATGTTTAAATTACAATGGCTTTGGGAACAAACGAGCTATGACAGTAAATCATACATTAAACAAAAGCTTATGATCTGTGGAATAGATTAGGGACAAAAAAGAATGTTACTGTCTTACAAGCTTTGAATTAACTGAAATAACATCCAGAAAAATAGCTTCCATATTAAGTCAATGCTTCTTATTTCTCTGTTCACATCAATTCTTCCTTCTTTTTGTCTTAATAGATTGCAGCTAATCATGTTATATCAAATCAATATTGTTCAGGACATTTAATTCATTCATTAGAAAGTTATCAATCATTATTAGGTGAAAAACTTGAATTTATTTGTGAAACAGATTCAACTGGTAAAGAGAAACATTATGTTCGTACAATATTTGGTAATAAACATGAAATAACAATAACTGATTTAACAGCTACAAATGGTGTAGCACATATTATAGAAGATACATTAATTCCACATTCTGGTAAGAAATTTTATTGAAATTAAAGAAGAAAAAAACGTTTTACATAACTGATTTATCAGAAGAGGATGGAACTACTACTACTACTACGCAGTGTACATCCACAATCCCATCCTGCGAGAATCGAATTCAGAACCTATAGCTCTTGGGCGCAAACGCTTAACTTCTAGACCCCTGAGTTGACTGGCATTCAACGGTGTTAATGTCTAACTTCGACTAATCTACAAAGTTGCCCCACAGTTAAGCGTTTGCGCTCGAGATCTAAGGTCCTGGATTTGGATCTCGCGAGCGGGATTGTAGATGCACACTGCTGAGAGGTCTCACAATAGGACGAAACAGTTGTCCAATGCTTCCAGATTTTCCATAGTGGTCTCATGAATCCAACTATTAAAAGAGCTTTTATTTCTTAAACCCAACTAACATTCACGAAGAGAAAAATCTCAAGTTAATCAGTCATGTTTAACTAATTAAACAAGATTCATATATTTGTCCGACACATAATCAACTATATGAACAATGAGGAAAATGAACTATAAATGATCATTATTGTTTATCACACTGATAAATCAATTATAGTTACATTCAACACTGTAAATCAATGGAGAAGAACAAATAAAATGTAGTGTCGGTTATTATGTTAAGCCCATATAGCTTATTCTAACTTCTGGACAAACCAATTTAACCGTTCTTCCTTAAGCTACAATTTGATTTTGTTAATTATTCGCTTATTAACCATGACTGTTTTCATATAAGCGTGTGTGTGTGCATCTTATCCTACTTACCACATGTCTTGTAGCGTATTTTTGTGTGACTATAAATATTGATTAACTCTTGACCAAATGGAGTTGGCTCACACACCTTCTCCACTGCTCACCATTTCGCTTCGTTCCGCTGATTATCTGCCCAGATCAATGACTGTATTAAATATACATATTCGAAATCCATTCTCGCAGTTGACTTATTTGATTCTGTTATTCATTAACGCGATCTAAATCGATAATTATACACGACGATTATTGGCAACATGTATATTTCTACAGCAATCAGAAACGATCTTACTGGAGTTAAATCTTGGGTTACTAAAGTGATGAGCCCGTCAACAACATCGTTCAATCTAAAATTGACAAAATAACAGGGTAATAAAAAAGATTTAACAGTTTATCCAGTGGAAAATTGTTAGAACTGTCTAAAGTTGTTATGGAAGTCTTCTTGTTTTCTAATTCATCATGGAATCGGTATATTCTTTACCCACATTTCTTTATCATTAATTCTATTAGCTCTCCTTTGTCTTAGGTAAAGTTGTTAGCCTGGTCTCATTTATTTGCAGTTTATAACATATAAACAATACTATTAATATACATTTATTATTTATTTGCATCTTCTCATTGTTATTTAAAACTGGGTTTGATCAGACTCTTTTGGGATATGTCTATACTGTTTAGATTGCCTCGATATTGCCATTAAGTTATAAGCATTTTACATAGAGATGAATAGGGGCTACCAGTGGAATTTAATAGGCGCATTTCGTTCTATTTTGAACTCATCATCTGGATATAACTTGTAACCGAGTTGATTTTTACCTCGGGACTCGAACTCAGTACTATTCACTCGAAACTCATCTCGTTAGCCACTTAGCTATTGAATCCAGATAGCCACTAACTTGTAAAATGGTGTGAATTTTAATTCATGTACATTGGTTTGTTTGAATTTTATGATTGATGTTTAGGACTGCAGCTAATACTTTTAATATTTTTCTTCTCACTTTTCAATAAATATTTGATATTGCATTAATCGAGCTCCAATCCACCTCCCTTCTAGATCCCAATTACAGCCTGGTGACAAATGGCAACTAACATAAAATCCAAACCGATTAGTTACTATTATTAAATACGGCATCAAGCTTAACTACAAGTATTATTCAATAACTCATATCCCTTGGGTTTAGTTTATCACAGAAACAAGTTCCTGTTATCAAGCAAAAAAAGATAGAAAAATATGACACTGTTTTGACATAACAACTTCTGATACTGTTATTACTTAAGAATTGTATTTGGACGATCTTCACAACACTATTCTAAACAATTTTAACGTTTTATTCACGAGTTTGGTCGGAACTTCTTCATAGGCAGTAGAATCAATCACTGCACAAAACACTGAAATTATTTAAATTTCAATCAATGAGGTTGTAGCGGCTGGTCCTATGTCAAGGCCACATAGGCTATTCTAGCTTCTGGACAAATCAATCTATTCATTCTTCCTAAATCACATTATTTGCTTCGCCTCATTTCACCTTTGCCTTGCCTTGCTTCGATTTGATCATAAATACCGATTCGCACTTGCTTAAACCGAGTTGGCTAACATTCCTTCTCTAATATGTTTCTCTTCGCTTCCTTCACTCCATCTCTCTGATTGTCTGTTCTGATCAGCGACTGTACCAAATATATGTATTCAAAACTTCATTCTTGTATTTAACTTATCAAATTCCACTATTTACCGACTCAATTTAAGTCGATGATTATATACATGAATTGACGATATGTTCAAGTCGATAATGATAATCACACGACCAAATTAAAGTCAGATATTTGAGAGCTATTAAAAGGTTATTTAAATACAGTTTTTTACATTTAATATCTTCCATATACTTGACATATAATTTCTGTCCAATGTGGAAAACATTTACTTAACTTTACAACTTAAATATGTACTATCAATTAAAAAGGAATACCGGGAAACACTGGACAGCCGTTTCGTCCTATTGTGGGACTCCTCAGTAGTGAGCATCCACGACTTCGCCACCCTCGGGATTTGAACCCAGGACCTGTCAGTCTCGCGCACGGGTGCTTAACCTCTATACCATTGAGCTGGCCGGCATCCAATGGTGTTAATGTCTAACTTCAACTAATCCACGAAATTGAGCGACAAATCCACCATGGTGGTCTAGCTTCAACTGACTCATGATCTGAACCATTGAAATTACTATAATATCCACATAACTTATCTGATATTAAAATGGAATAATTCAATGAATTTATACTTTATATCATATTTCTTTGCCATAGTTATAACATTCAAAGAATTCATTCAGAATAAACAATATGGTGAAAAGTTGAAAGCTACTGAATTTCTAAATCTTCTTAATGAATGTGATATAAAAATGGAACCAGGAGAGAAATATGCCATAGTTTTACCTCAAGATAGTTCAATGAAATGTAAGTATTATTTTAATTCATAAATGGGTAAAACTATAATTTATGGATGAACCAATCAGATTTAAGATAACAGGTTTTAAATTTTGGCGCCAAATCTATTCACTCATTTAACTGAATACCTTTTTTAATATTATATCTAATGTCAGTACGTGATGAAAACGTCAAATCTAATTCTTAATCGTAATGTTCAACTGTAAATCATAATCCTTATTTCTCATACTAAACCATAATCTTCATTTAACTTAAGTGAGTAGGTGGATATCCGACGGTTATTTTAGCGCTGCTCAGAGATCGTCTATAAAATAATGGTATCCCCATTTAATCCTCTAAGAAATATTATGTTTGACAAGCTTAAGAATTTTATCTAAATGTCTCATACAATTCAGAATAAGTGTACTTAATTACTGAACAGATTGTTTTAATGTTCAACTATGATATTACAAAATCTCATTTTGATTTCTGTTATTACTTACTTACGTCTGTTACTCCTTGTGAAGGAGCATAGGCCATCTACTAGCACTCTTCATCCAATCCTGTCCTGGACAATCCTTTCTAGCTCTTTCCAGTTGTTATTCATCTTTTTCATTATCTGCTTCCGATTCTCAACGTAATGTGTTCTCTGGCCTACCTCTTTTCCGTTTCCTTTAAGAATTCCAAGTTACCCCTTGCCTCATGATGCAGTTTGGTGATTTCTGTAACTTATGTCCTATCTATTTCCATCGTCTTTTTCAAAATTTCCTCTTTAGCTAAAAGCTGGTTTGTCCTCTCTCATAGTAAACTGTTGCTGATGGTATCCAGCCAATGAATGTAGAGAGTATATATAATGATTATTCAATGTATTATTCAATCATATCACTTATCTGAGAATAATTCATTATAACAAAATTAGTTTACAATATCTCGCAGGTGGAAAACACAAAATTATCAACTAATGTGTCCACTATCAAGTGACGTATCCCCTTGTTAACATAATTTTCATTATATAACACAATCTTATAATAATAATAATAATATTGTAACTGATCTACTAAATAGGGTGGTCAACTTATCCACAATTTCAAGAACAATATAAACGTTTTCAAGTTGATAAAGAATATCGTTGTCATGTGGCACGTTATCATATTATGAAAAGTAATGATCGTTTAAATAATATTGGTAACTTCGCTAGTCATACACAAGGTCATCGTACACTTAATCCAAATGAACCATTATATGAAACAACTTATTTTAAAAAATCTCCATATGGATCACAAGTAAGTTAATTATACATGTCATTTGACTATTATATTTATTTCAATAGTGGAAATGATGAGTTAATTGAAGCTAGACCACCATGGAAAACCTAGAAACACTGAACAGCCGTTTCGTCCTATTGTGGGACTGCTCAACAGTACGCATTCACGATCACGCCATGCGGGATCTGAACCGAGGGCCTTTAGTCTCGCGCTTGAGCGCTTAACCTACTTGACCACTGAGCTGGCCGGCATCTAACAGTGTTGATGTCTAACCCCAACCAATCCACGAAATTGCGCGACCATCTTCCATTGTCTTAGGTAGATGCCTGTCTCTACCCGACATGGAATAACTCAATGGTGGTCCAACATCAGTCGGTTCAAGATCTCAATCAATAACTTAATAATCTTCACAAACCTATACTGATAAAATCTTTTATAATTTTTATACAATTTATTATTTTGACTGAAATCATGAATGGATGAATGTTAGACCATCATTAAAAACCTGAAAGCATTGGATGACCGTCTCGTCCTAGTATACGACTTCTCAACAGTCGTTCAACACTTCCAGATTATCAACAATGGTCTAATATTTAGTCATTCATGATCTCAATCTCTACAACCCTATACTAATAATTTATGATTATTAAAAAATAATCTCAATGAGATCATTTATAAGTGACCGATTATTTGAAGTTTTAAGACGTCACTTCTCTACTGATAAGACTGTTGAAAGGTCGAAAAAATATGGATCAATGATATTCAATTTAAGGATTATAGCATCATTTGCTCAATATAAGACATAAAAGTCGTGATCTGGATCCTGTATTTAAAATACAGTGCACAAAATCTTCATTATTTTTTTAATCAATAATGTAAATAGCCAATATATATTCAACTATTGATATACTTCAATCTACTGAATACATAAAATCTACTTTCGTGCGCGTGACCGAAGATCCTGAGTTCAAATCCCAAGTTCAGGATCGTGGGTGTGTACTGCTGAGGAGTCCCATTCTAGGACGAAATGGTCATCCAGTGCTTACAGTTTTTCTATAGAGGTTTAGTTTTAATCGACTCATGAATTCAACTATTACAATTACTACAATCCCCACAAAAACCCCCTTCTGATATAATATGTATGTTATGTTTTGATAAAATTAAAAACGTACATCAGTGTATTTTATTTCAATTGTAAACCTTTTTACTTTTTCAAAAATTTAACATACACAATTTTTTGGTTGAGATCATGAATCGAATAATGTTAGATCACCATTGAAAACCCGGAAGCACTGGACGACCGTTTCGTCCTAGTATGGAACTTCTCAGTAGTGCACATCCATGGTCCTACATCATGGGATTCGAACCCAAGACCTCCGGTCTCTCATGCGAACATCTAACCTCTAGACCATTGGTCTGACCGGCATCCAACGGTGTTAATGTCTAACTTCAACCAGTCTACGAAATTTCATCACAGTTAAGCGTTCGCACACGAGACCGAAGGTCCTGGGTTCAAATCCCACCAGTGAGAAGTTCCATTCTTGAACGAAACTGTCATCCATTGCCTCTAGATTCTTTATAGAGGTCTAGCTTTAATCGAATCATGAATTCAACCATCACAATTATGTTTTGATAAAATTAAAAACGTACATCAGTTGTAAACCCGTTTTATTCTCTGTTCAAAATTTAATATAAACAGTTTTTTTTTCTTCGTCAATATCTAGTGCATAATCATAATACAATAGTGTTCGTATGTTCAAACAAATCTATTAAACATTGAACATGGTTCAAGTGAATAATTCACATTAGATGATAATCGGAATTAGAATGAATTAAAACAAGATGATATTGATGTCAATAAATATGACTATTCATATTCACATTCTATTTAATATTTATTGTTAATTTATTAAGTAATTTCTATAAATTAGATCAAATCATATCAAGTATTTTATAAACAAAGATGGATAGTGGCTAACAGTGGAATCCAGGACTCGTGTTTCATCCTATTTGAGACTCGTTAGTTGAATATACCTGCATCTCAGATTTGATGTTCATTCTGGAACTCGAACATTGTACCGTTCGCTTCAAACATCATCGCGGTATTGAATTAGCTAGTGAAGCAAACGGTACTGAGTTTGAGTCCTAGAATGAACATCAACTCTGAGATGTAGGTATATTCAGCTGATGAGTCCTAAATAGGATGAAACACTCGTTCAACCCTCTACTACTAGACACTATCCGTCTTTGATTATAAAGCTTGTGAATTAAGGTCCGCACAAGATGTACATATGCCAATTAGAGACTGATCAATTGTAGTCCTAAATAACAATGGGAAGATACAAAGAAAGCAACGCCGAGTGAATTTAAAATTACTTTATACTTTTAGAAAATAATTTTTGGTATAAAGCTCGGTTTTCCACGCCTACATGAATGGGATAATAATTTACCAATCAATTTACCAATATCTACACTGGATTCCCTCCTAATGTTTATTCTACAGGACTTCAACACAACTCAGATCAAGAACACGTGACTAGCCTGATTAAAAGGTTAGAATATTTCCATGACAAAAACCGAGAACAAACATAATGGCAATAAAGGCAGGAGAATATATAACTCATCTAATATCTGTCAGACTATCAACAAGTCTGATTAAGCAAGCAACCAATCATTATCATTCGCGCCCACACATTAATTTTAACTCAAGAACTTCTGTGACTGACTGATATAACGTAAATTAATAAGATCTTCCTACTGGAACACTAGATACAAGACAGTACGATACTCGATAGTACATTTAGCTACTTAAGCGAACAGTACAGGTTTCGAGTCCCAGTGGTTAAACGCTCGTGCGCGAGACTGATAGATCCTGGGTTCGAATCTCGCAAGGCGGGATCGTCGATACACACTACTGAGGAGTCCCACAACAGGACGAAACAGCCATCCAGTGTTTCCAGGTTTTCCATGCTGATCTAGCTTCAGTTGAATCATAATCTCAAATATTGAAATTTATAAATATGCTGAATTCTAAACTGAACAAACCTTCATATACCAGTTATGTTTATTCACCTTAGTACATTATGCATTGCTAATGATTATCACCAATAATTGTCCCGTACCAATTTCATTATTATCATTATTATTATTATTATTGTATTTTATTTAGCCTAAGGTGGTTCAATGGAATTTACCTGCTCGTGATGGTATTATTTGGTTATTAGATGGTATATTAAAATGTCCTGAAAAAATTTGTCCATTAATTGTTGAAGATGTAGATTATTATGATGTCTATGTAATGGCATGTCAAACATCAGTATTACCTGGTGAAAAAGATCCTGTTGCACAATTTGAAAGTAGACCATTAGATATTGCAAGTCGACATCCTAGTCTATGTACTGTGGTATTACAAACAAGTGAAACGACGGTTACACTTATTGAATCTTAATTATAATAATAATTCATATTAGAATTATCATAGAAAGTAATAAACAATGCCAGGGTGTGTTTTAATTCCTTTGAATTTATTCCCTTCAAATATAAACCTAATATAATCATAGTATTCATTATTATTGAGTTTTATTAAAACGTACTTCATTAAACCCTCTTTCTATGTATACTTGTTATATTTAATTTGAATAGGATGCTTTCAATTGAACGATTTTTCAAGTTATTAACGTGAATCACATATGAGAGCTGTGATATGAGATTCAATAATAGAATATAAGGTGGAGATGGATGGTGGTTAGCAGTGAAATTCAGAATGTCCGTTTCATTCTATTTAGGACTTTTCAAATGGATGGATCTGGCTCCTAGAGCTGATGCTCATTATGGGACTCGAACGTAGTACATTCTTCTTAAGTGCCATTGCGTTATCTACTTAGCTGCTGAGTCCAAATAGCTGCTAGCTTATGCAATGAGGTAAACATTGACACTGGGGTACAAGTACATCCAGCTGATGAGTCAAACTGGATTCCACTGCTAGACACCATCCATCTTTACTTATAGTGCCTGTAACTTAAGATAATATCGAGGCAATCCTCACAGGATACACATGTGCCAATAAGAGATTGACTAATTGCAGACCTAAATATCAATGGGAAGATTCAAACCACCAATACAAAAATGAATTAGAATATGAGGTGATTGCAATTAGCTGACAAATGATTATGGTTCTAGGTTTCGTGCTAGCTATTGCTGACTAATTTTTTACCCGAATGCTAAGACGACGACTTCCCAACGACTTCCTAAACCTCTAAGGACTTTTATTTTCTTAACCGCGAACAGAAAACAGAAAGCATCAGGCTTAGAAAAAGCCTTATATATAAGTGAATATACGTGAAGTTATCTGATGATAGAACTAAAAAACTGAGATGTGGTGAAGTAGTTATTCCATGGAGTTCGGAAACTGTTAAGATGGATCATTTAACAATTAAACTTTTAAAAAGTTTACAGATGTTTTGACAATGAAATGAGTGGACAACACTTTACTTTCTTACGCCTGTTACTCCTCGTGGCGGAGCATAGGTCGCCCACTAGCACTGGCCATCCAACTGTCCTGAGCAATCCTTTCCAGATCATTCCAGTCGCTGTTCATTCTTTTGGTACCTGCCTTCGATTCCCGATGTAGTGTGTTCTTTGGCCTTGCTCTTTTTCGCTTACCTTCTGGATTCCAAGTTAGCGCTTGCCTCGTGACGTACTTTGATGAGTTCTTCAAAGTGTGTCCTATTCATTTCCAACGCCTTTTCCTAACTTCCTCCTCAGCTGGAAATTGGTTTGTTCTCTCCCACAGTAGGCTGTTACTGATAGTATCCGGCCAACGGACATTCAGTATCTTACATACAGCATTTTTGATAAATACTTATATCATTTTGATGATGGTTGTAGTAGTTCTCTACGTTTCAGCTCCGTATAGTAGGACTGTCTTGACATTCGTATTGAAGATTTTGAAAACGTCGGAGTGGCTGAGCGGTTTAAGGCGCCAGACTCATGAGTGAACAGCACATACGAATAGAAATACTAAGCTCAGAAGAAACAACAACTGGATTTACGAAGACTACATCACAAAATAAACGCAATAAAACAACAATAATAATAATTACAAGTGACTTTAATTAAAAATTTAAGCATAGCACAGCAATCATAAATTGACAATCTCCTGTCTTTTAATAATTATAAAGAACTAAGAAACGTCAATCATATGCTTACCATCAAATAAATTCCGAATAATTATACTGTTTACTGCCTTTGAATCTTTTAGTCTCGAATTCTTTGAAATGTATTCGAAAATGCGAACATGTAACCTTCTCTCTATTCTTCCAGTGTGAGTGATTTGGCATGTTCATTTAGACAAATAAATTCAGTTATAGATACCCAGGAAAGAGGACCTATAGATTTTTGCCTGGTTAAGGGAACAATTGGTTTCATATAACGTGATCAGCCTAGATGCTGGGTGAACAGTCTTCATTGCAGTATTTATTATGTGATTATTCATCTCAATGACTTCATCCAATTCAAAACGAATCTGTAGGAAGCAAGGTTTATTGTTAATCGTATCATAATTAACATAATCGTCAGTTTTGTCATACATCTCCATGAATTTCTGTGGATATACATTTTTAAGTAGATAAGTTTTAAGGACTGCAAGTGCTTATGATCTTTATTAATACAAAGTTTATGAGCACGGTCAAAAAGGGTTTCTACAATCTTTTTCATTCATCATAAACTTCACTCCATTTGTTATTCAAATGAATAGGTCTTTGTAGCTTTTACTCTAATGTTCACTGAATTCTGACATTCAGGAAAAGGAATTTTTCTTCAACCTCACATTGCTTGGTAAATTTGATTTTCCTTTATACTTTATTAAACAAATCAAGTAGGTGTTTTGACTTCATCAGTCTCATGTCCCCCTATTGATAATTCTATCTCATTTATTACTTTGGTTATATGAAAACTCATAAAGGAAACCAACAGTATGAAATGCTTCATTTCAGTTAGATTGTAAGCGAAAATGTAACCGTGAAAAAAAAAAGGAATTTCAAAAGAAATTGGGAACTCATACATCAAATTGCTTATTACATCATTAAAAAGCCCGTCTACATCACTTTACCATTTAGAGGTGATTTAAATATCCTTTTATTGAAACAAAGGCTTAAATCAGTCATCAACAAAACATATTGCTCAGTAAAAGTCATTATCAAAGAATGAACAAGATGTATGCTTCATCCAAAACCCGAAAGATATAAAAACGATTGTGTCACATCCCACTGTGTTTACCAATTTAAATGTGTGTGTGGTGCACACATACATAGGGAGGAGTATTCGTGATCTCAAGAATAGGGTGTATGAACATATACTAAAATGGTCACAGAAACAAATAGAATCGAATGGCCCAATATGAGTAGAGGATAAACTTCCATCATCCTCTATTGCCAAAAACATATAATCAAAACAGGCCATAAAATTGATCTTAACTCGGCTTTTTTGGTGTTGGATAAAAGTGTAAAAGGGCGTATACTAAGGTTTATTGAAGCCTTAGCCATACGAAAATTCAAACCGCCTTTGTGTATTCAAAAACAGCTTGTCCTCATCTTAAACGTATCCTTGTAATATTAGCTTATTACCAGAGTGATGAGGTTTCAAGTTGTTTCCACGTTATTTCTTCATTATCATTGTCTCCTCTTACTCTCCATTTCTAATCTAGTTAACCTTTATCTTTTTATATAAGTGTTCTTAACAAGTATATTATGAGTGATCAGATTGTTCGAAATGTATGATGCTAATATATCATTACATAGTTCTGATAATCCTTGTCTTCTTATTACACTATCGAAATTTATCAAAGGGACTAGTTGCTTTATATTACATCTTTGTTGAGAAGCCTACTCGGTTACATTGAGAATTACTAAAAATCGATAACACTTCTTCACGGTAAAAATCCTGTTAGTATTCCAATTAGCCATCATTTTCAATCTTTGGAGACAGTGTGGATAGACTGTACTAGAAGTCTACTTGTTTGCAAACAAAATGTTTAAGTATAGAAAAGAGTTGTATGAAAAATGTTAGTGGGCGGCCTATGCTCCTTCACTAGGGGTAATAGGTGTAAATAAGTAAATTATAGAAAAAAGGATGATTTTTTTCCTGGCTAAATTTTGCTAACTAATTATTGATAGTACTATAATGATCGAGAACACATAAGTGAGGACAATCAAATGTTTTTGAGTACAAAACTATAGAATCTCTTGGTAAAATCCGCGAACCATATAGTAAATACTTCATTTACGAAATGCCAATCACTTGTCTCAGACTTTGTTCCTTCGTTTCCATACCAATCATTCTCTGTTCTCGTTCTCTTCTCTCTGACCTACTTAACCTTCTGCCACCAAGCATTTCATTTTCGATTGATCATACATACTACTTATATCTATCGACATCAGTAGCACATACCACATCACTATAATATCACACTATTTTTAATGAGATAAAAGATAATATCTAATGAAATATCATTCTGATAATGTTAAATAACGAATTTATTGTATTCCCAAATGACTAAAGTTGAAATATGTTATCCCAGTAGAAGAACGGCTAAGTAACCACTATGAGACATGTAAAAAAATGACTATAATTTGGAAAATTACTTTTTAAAAATCGTATTACAATGAATAATATATGGCATACAAGTGAATTAGAACACATGTCCTGGATCGCACTATTACTCGCTATCCACGTCTGCTTAAAAATAAAGTAGACAATATCAGTTGTTAAAACAGTGGACATCTGAACCGATTAAAGATTAAATATGTATAATTTATAAATTAGAAAAAGCATTCAAAAAGAGTTAGGACAATTCATTCGAAGATATCATATTACAATTAACATAATAAAATAAAATCAGTTTAGGAAATGCGCAGTATGAGAACTATTGATTAAAGTCTTACTCACTGCCTTCTCACGGCAGGGGTGTTGTTCACGAAATCAAGAAGACGAAATACGAATGTCCAGCGATTTAACCGGCTTGATGAATACGGAGGATCCACCTAGTGGAGTTAGTTGGGAAACCTTGATTCCAAACCAATGATGCACATGGGCTCCAGGATTCTAAAGAAACGAATGGCGTATGAATCTATTGTTGGTCCACGGCTGCCATGGAACTGTATGTCCTTACATTGCTCCACTGCTTTGTGGATCAAACCTTCGGGTCAAAGGTTCGGGGTGTGGCCCTCTAAGAAAACCACCTGTTTCGGTTTGGGCACCCGGAGAGTATCATAAACCGCACACAAGTCAAGTGATTTGTGTGATGTATATGTATTCGGTGCCGCTTTGTACCAATATTTATGTGTTCAAACAAATAAATAAATGAAATAGTGATAATAGTGATAATTGTTGTGACGTGAGGTGTCCGAAATCTGATGCTCATGCACAGTGTGCTACGCGTTACCCCCCCCC